GACTGAGACAGAGAGAGTGTTCTTTCAAGGTCTGGTTATGGAGGACACTTACCTGAGCTAGAAGCAAGTGACGAAGGTGGCATTGATGTATCTGACGTGGGATTGGTATTGCGCTGAAGCGCGTTGACTCAGGGAACTGTGAACTCATTGTAATCATAATTTTTGATAATATAAGTGACGGGTCTTGGTCCTATTCTCATCTACCTTTGTCTCGTGTGTGGCAACTGTGTCCATTGAGTGTGAAGACGATGTTTGATGTATGCACATCTGCGTGAGTTGGTCTTCAGGACCCATGCATCAGTCTCAATACAGCCATAATGACCGGGCGTTCATTTCAGGTGAAGACACTAGCCCATACTTGGGGCTAACGAGTCGCTTATAGGCAATTCCATCCGATTGGCTAAAAAAAGCTTGAACCGCCAGTTCACAGACCCAGCGCCTTGTGAAGAAATCTTTCATCGCCTATGGAAATTTTGGAGGCTCCAAGCTACAGGACCACAATGGCTGGCGGCGCCAGCCAAAAACGAAAAAAGTGGGCCGCAGGTGGTTCGGTAAAGCTTGGCGCACAGTGGAAGACCACCAGGCCAGGGTGTGCTGGTGATTTAAACCACCAGTACACCTGAGCCCGGCGGACTCGCAGTATGTGCCAGACTTTGCCGAACCACCAGTGGCACACTTTTTTTCTTTTTTGGCTGGCGCCGCCTCCTTGAGTGAGCCATGAGTTTTTTGAAGTTGGCTGGGGCCGTGTACTGGCGGTTTAAAACCCCACCTTTGTATTGTGCCTTGAGCACAGGTCAAGGCCTATGAATTTGGAAAAAGGATGCCCATTTCCCACAGTGCTCCCAAATCTATTGGGCTCACTACACCACTCTAGAAACGACCCTTTTTTCAAGAGAACAAATGTCATCACACCAACTCTTCGAAATTCCGAGCAAGAAAAATCTGACAGTTGTCAGGAAGAAACTTTTTGTGAGTACACTTGAAACACAGTCACACTGACCAACTGACCAACCAACCAACCAACTGTCCGAGCACCTGTCCGACCGACCAACTGACCAACAAACCCACTGACCGGCCGACCGGGCCACTAGGCGACAAAGCGACCAGGTCAATCAACCTGCCAACCAACCAACCGGCCGACTGATGACCGACCAAGTCACAAAGGAACTGACAGACTGACAGATCAAGTGATGAACATTAATCCGTTGCTTCATCTTTAGGTTCAACTGACCAACAGAACAAAAAACGCACCAGAAGATTGACCAACAGATGGATGCACTGGTGGATTGATGGGCGGACAAACGGACACACACATACAGACGGACGGACAAGCACGCAGACAGAAGGACGAATGCACCAACAGATGGACCAGCAGACGGCTGCATTGACAGATGCACCGACGGATTGATGGGCAGACAAACGCAGCGATACATACAGGCACACAGACAGACAGACAGACAGACAGACAGACAGACAGACAGACAGACAGACAGACAGACAGACAGACACACAGACAGACAGACAGACAGACAGACAGACAGACGGAGAGAAGGACAAACGTGCCAACAGACGAATCGACCGAGGGATGCATTGACAGATGCACAGGCAGATTGATGAGCGGGCGCACGGAGATGTACAGACGTACAGACAGACAGACAGAGAGAGAGAAGGACAACACCAACAGACAGATGGCTTGATGGAGCAACCAAATGGCTGATAGAGCGACAAACACACTTATAGATGGACCAACAGACAAACCAAGATGGATTTAAAGATGGACAGATCGATTTGTGGGTCGAGACATACTGACAGACAGACAGAAAACAGCTGCACACACCGACAGGTAGATAGACAGAGAGAGAGATAGACAGATAGATAGATAGACAGAAAGACATATAGACAGATAGACAGATAGACATATAGACAGAGACAGGTAGGCAGACAGACAGACAGATAGGCAGATAGATAGATAGATAGGCAGACAGATAGACAGATAGACAGATAGGCAGATATAGACCGATTAACAGACAAACTGAAAGACAGAGACACGAGTCACACGACGAAGTTCACAATGTTCACGCTCTGTGATTTCCATCATTTCTTTCTTGTTCTGCATTTTCGTTTCTCTGCATCAAATTGAGAGGTGTGGTCTGGGGCCCCTATCTCCCACCCCTACCTCTGCTGTGGTCTCTGTGTCCCACGCATCCCTGTACTGGTCGTATCGTGGGGAAATGCTCATCACTCGATGTCCACGAGCCTGCAAAAAAAATCAATGCTGCATAAAGTCACGTACTGAAGTCGTTTGGAAATCGGATTCAGTGAAAATTTACACGGTATGTGAAAACTGCCTATTGGACTTCCTTAAAGCCGAGCATTTCCGAAGCAAATTCAGATTACAATGTAAATAACACAATTTAAGAAGCAGATAAAACCACCGCTGAGGAGCCTGTAGAGCCCAAGTTCGCTACCCTTCTTCTCTTCTCCCCCCCCTCCTTCCTTCCCCATTCCCCCCTGGGTTCTCCCAAAAGTTGTTTTCTTTTTTTCGCCCCAAAAAAGACAATTTATTGCCGAGCTAACCTACAGTCTTGAACCACCAGTACTTCCTGAAGTCGTGCCCGTATACGTACGGGCCACGACAGAAGCACCCAAATTCATCTGACTAGAAACGTTTCTACTCCATTTTTTCCTGCGGCCTATAGCTGTGCCAAGTACTGGTGGTTCGAGAAACAGAAAATACACATCAGTCTATCTAGTATCCGTCCTATGACAAGGGTTATACTGGTAAAGTTGAGATACACATGCATCAAGACATGCAAAACACACTGATCACACATGTATTCAAGGTACAAAAACTGACAAGTACGTGATGCACAGATCGCAGCCGGCGGGTTATAGCACCCCGACCGGTTTCGACCGCCCCCCCACGGTCATCCTCAGGAGGAACCACCTTTCGCCAACCCTCGTTCTAATCCATCGTTCCACCAACCCAACTCCGCCGCTGACTGCGCACACATCTCCGGAAATGCCTGCGGGCCTAACAGCGTCTATCCTATTACAAAACCACACATCGCCCATGAAAACAAGGCCTAATACGCCCTCCTTCCAAAATGCAGCTACCAGCCTCGAGGTTCCCCCTGAAGTCCATTGAAGAGACACAAGAACCTACAAGATGTGAGCAAACAGCGTTACATTTTAAACATTCATGTTTCTAAGGAGATCTTTCCTGCCTGGCGGAGGGGTACTAGGGGGGGATGCTCTTATCACCCCGTCTAGTACTTTGAGTCTGGTTTCAAAACAAAACAAAAAAGGAGATTTTTCCTGAGACACAGTACTCGCCCAGGAGATTAGACCTTTCAGATTCAAAGAACAGTAAACCACAGGTACCTCGCTCAGGCAAACAGCCGCAAACTTGAGACTTGAAAGTTGAAAGCGACATTCCGGCTGCTTCAGATGAATTATGCCACCGGAGCAATGGCTGGCGGTGTCAGCCGAAAAAGAAAACAAATTGCACCACTGGGCCACTGGCGGTTCGTTTTCTTTGTGTGTGTGTGTGGGGGGGGAGGTAGAGTGCAAATCCGTATCAGGAAAAAGAGGCTCGAGCGGACTGGTGGTCTAAGTAAAAAGCACATCGTACAGCGGTTGCCCTCGCTATCGACGACCCTCTATCGGCAATGCTCGTCAGTCGCATGACATTGGATAGAAGAGGGCCGAAGGGCCGACCAATGTGGTCGTCTTTTGATAAAGCGATCGACCGTATAAGAGGCCACTTTTATCTTATACAGGTGCCTTCACACTAGAGTGGCCTGGAGCTCCCTGTGGATACCCAAAGCTCACTAAGCCGCCTTCTCCCCGCTCCTCAGCCTTCTCCCACCCTTCTCCCCTCAACTCAACGACGGTTTGGGTTTAAGGTTTAGGGGATTAACAGTTTTAGGGTTAGGGGTTTAAAGCCTATCAAATTGGTGTTCAGCCTTTTCTCTTTTTTTTCCCTTCTTTTTGTGCGTGTGTATTGTCACAGAGAACTGATTGCTGAACAATCGGCGTAATCCAACGACACGACAAACGAACTGGATTTAGAACTTTAGATGGGTTACCAAGCGTGGCTGTTTCGCCGGACCACCACCTCATCAGGAGGCTAAACCCTCAACAGGCTGCATTAGTAAAAGCAAGAGTATTACTGTTCGACATTGGAGTAGATGGATTAGATGAATGAGATGAAAATCACAAGATCGGGCAGATGATAAGGTTCCAAGAAGAATGAGGATGTTACGATCCTGGTCATTCCCAAAGGGCAAATTCACAATGAAAGACAATGCCACCCAATTGCGAAAGAAAGGAAAGCACTTGCAAAGAGATAGAGACCAGAGGAGAGAGAAAGAAGAAGAAGAAGAAGATGTACACCAGCAAGACCAATGACAATTCCCCTCTTCTCTCTCCACCTTCCTCCTCCTCCTTCACTTCGCCAATCTTATTCTTCTCCCAATAATAATAATAACAATGAGTGGATGAACCAGAATCAATATCCGAGGTTCCCTCTTACTGCTGACTCAACAACCACAACAAGAAGAAGTCCGCCATAGCTATGGCTTCCCTCCTTCTTCCTCCTCTCACATGCCTAGGCTATGGCGGACTACTGAGGGCCCTGCCCTCCTGTCCAAAGGACAACCCAAAGCAGCTATGGCGCTGCACTCCTGTCCAAAGGACAACCCAAAGCAGCTATGCCGCTGCTGACTAAGCCGCCATGCCTGACTCTGCCTCGA